TTCGGGCAAACAAAGCCAGTGTTGGGGCAAACAGTGCGTATACTTGATGTATGGCATACAATGGTCATTCAGAGCTTACCCCTGCGTTTGCCCGCTGGCAAACCTTACGCCCATTTAACCAAGCTTTGAATTATGGCCATCAAGCGTTAACCACAGTATAAACGGCTTATACAGGTCAGCTTTTTGACTGCGTAAAATATTGAAAGGGTTTTTATTTTTGTAGGGTTAAATTACCTAAAATTTGAAGCCTTATAGGGTAATGGGAAAGCTGAAAACAAAACAAAAATTACTTGAAAAGGTTAAGCCTGATCATTAGCCCAACGAAAAAATGCTGATAAATATATGTGGCTTTGTGATTAATATCCTTTAAAGATTATTGCTATATTTTTTTACTCTTTGGAAGGATTTTAATTAGAGATGAATGTAAGGCCATCTTACAGTATTCACTTTCATGGCTAATCAATTAAAGGTAATTTATACTTCGACCTGAATTTATAATATATATTTAACTTGTTTAATTTTGTATTCATTACTACTGTCAGTGCTTCAAGAATAATTTCCTTTGTTCAACAAGCGCGAAATAGGATGCCAAGATGGATTGCATGTGAAAAACTTAACTCATTTAAGTTTTACTCCACCTTCGGTTAACTCGAACCCATCTCTTCTTTCAAGTTACCATTGAAATACCACACGTAATTGCATTTGAGCTTTGGCAATTGATTGGCCAGAGTTTTTCGGGGAGGCCAAAGAATATAGGGGAAATCGACTGGAAATTGATTTTCAGCTGCAGCAAAGGGAACACCTGCCTTCAAGGAATTCCCTGAAACTGACTGCAGATGAAAATTCATTTAAAAAGTATATTAGCTTAAACCTGAGCGTGTAATTAGCGAGCTGGCAGGAATGGAAACTAAAGGTAAAGGTGTGTCGGTGGGGCAAACATGCTTCAAACTTTCGTTGAACAAACACACACAGGAACACTCGGGCGGAGTTTTATTTTGTTCCGCACTTGTTCCCATCGGAGGAGTGCTCTTCGTGCTGTTCTTGCCGTGAGAGGCTGCAAAGTTGCATATTTCCACAAAAAGGAGGAGCAGCAGCAGCGAGTGAAGAAGGCTTGGGGAAATGTTTCTGTTGCATGTTAGCAGCAGTCTTCATTTGGGGTATATAGAGACAGTTGCTTTTGGCCAGGACACATATGTGGGGGAAAATATTTATAAATATGTGTAAATAATAAGCATGTTAAATAAGCTCAGAATTTACGATGGAAATAGGAGGAGTTATAGTATGTATAAAGCTTATTTTTGTTTGATATTTATAAAGTTATATATACTATTGGGATCTGCATCTCTGGCCAATGCAAATAAGAAGAGTGCATGGTCAAATTCAATATTAATGAGCCTCAAAAGAGAAAAAATTCCCAGAAAATCGGAGCACCTAAGACCAACATGCTCTGCTTTGCTGAAACTCTTCTCGGAAAACTTTTATTGGACACTTTATATGGCAGGACATATGCATTTCCATACGGACTGCTCTCCGCATATTTGGTTTTCCCAGGAAAAATATACACCTCTGCCGGGAGTACAGAAAAAAATACAAAGTTATGACCAACACGGGTCGCCTGTGCTCGGTCTCCGTTCCATATATCATATGCAAGTTGCAATTAAAACGTTGTCAATGCCGCATTTTATGTGACCATATCTGCATAGTGGCAAGGAATTTTTCAATATTTATATTCCTTTGTGTCGGCCCGCAAGCAAAATCCTTTCACGCTGCCAGGACCACAGCGAACATGTTACTTGGGAGACAGGACAGCCACAAATGCATCCCAGTCCCATTCCCATTCCCATTCCCAGCTCCTCCCCCAGTTTACACAAATTCACACAGCTCAGTTTGCTGTTTGTGTTTGCGCTTGTTGTTGATCTTCAAGCTTGATTTTACTTTAGCATTTCCCCCTAAAAAATAGTAAAACGAAAACGAAAACCATCCGAAAAAACGCGCTTTTTATGCGAGAAAGAAGGCAGTTTGGGGGCGGCACTTCAGCTGCACGCGCTCCTTATATTGTTGATATTAATGCCAGCGCCAGCGTTGAGGAGAGCTCCTGGTGGGGAGAATGCATTCCGTTCATAATTGGATGGGATTTACTAGGAACTGGTGCCCCAACAATGGTTTAACATTTGCACTTATCCCTTGAGCGGGATAAGGAAAATACCAAATAATGTCCTCGAAGATTTAGTTGCTCCTGGATAATGTCAGCTTAGAACTTTAACCTTTTTCGAAAGTCTATGAAGACTTTAAATTTAGCAGAAATATTCCACAACAGCGGGGTGTAATTGCACAACAGCAGGGCGCAAAACAATGCGAGTGACAATTTAATTAACACATTTCATAGACAACACAAAAAAATGGGCAAAGGGCGGGTATAAGGTAGAGGGATGACTCCATTTTGTGGCAGCAACAATTGGTTTCCCTTTGGCATTTTAATTATGCATTTGTTGGCCTCACTCCTTCACTCCCGGGCTGCCATTTGCGAGATTGCATGTTTAGTTAAACAATTTAATGGCTCTCCTCTTCCTCCTCCGATATGTGCTGCAATTTATGGCCGGCCAACTATGAAGTCCATAAATTAACACGCAAACGAACGCTTAAATAACATTTTGCAGGAAAATACTATTTTTGATGTTTCTACATTAAATAAATTATTTCTCCCCCAGAGCACTTTATTTGGGGCTCGAAATTAAATCTTTAATGGATAGCATTATGGGAATAGTATAAAAATAATTATATTGTTTAGCTGCTTGGCCTATTTTTCTCCTTGAACAGGTTTAATAGAGCGCTTAATCCGCTGCTATCCATGCCCCGGGCCCATTACATTTTATTGTCAAAAAAAGGAAAAAGTAATAAAGGAAACTATCCTAACTGTGCGAACATCTTGTAAAGCATTAGTTAACATGTTCTTTGTCGGACTATCCAAATGAAAATGTTTTCGCTTTTACTTTTGTTCAATTTTATACACTAACAATGGGTAGAACCTTATTGTTCTCGAATTGATTGAATCAATAAATTAATACTGGACTCAATTTAATTAACCTTTGAATAAATGTATAATGCTTCTTTCTTTATGAATTTAAAAGTAAATTAAATATGTGCAAGCCAAGCCAAAAAATGAAAAGTTTATATACTATAAGTACATCTTTACAATTTAAAGACTCAGAGTTTCTTTTATTACTATCATATTCATAAGTGTATTTAAGACTCCAGTATCAAAAGTCAACCTTCGCTCCTTGCTTTTTTATTGATTTCACATTGTTGCTGCTGTCTGCTGATAGTTCCGACTTGTTTGTTTGTTGTTCGATGTTGTTATTATCCACTGCTAACAAGGATTGCACGTCATTTGCAGTTTTTTTTACTGAGCACTGGAATGTAATGTTGAAGTTGTAACTGAACGACAGGGCTGAGCACGCCTCGAAGGGTGCAGTCGAGGCAAGGACAGCTGGCATGCAACGCGAGATGAGAAGCTCGAGGAGATCCAGTTCGTCCAATATGTCGTGGCATTCCCGGGTTGAGCTCGACTGGAAGAAGCAGCGGATATTAAACTTTGGCAACGACATGTAACCAAATACCTAGTGTCCCATGGCGGGTTGTGTCCCTCACTAATGGAAGCTCCTCTCATCTATGATTGATTACCAGCAGCCAAAAGTTATACACTCACGTTGATGTATGCTAATGCTGAGCTCCCAAGTGGCTCCCGACAGTCACATCTCAGCTTCCTATTGACAGACAATTAGTGTGTGGGTCCGTGATTGATGAATTTTAGTTCCAGTTTCCAACTAATTGCATTACCCGACTAAGCAAGAAACTGTTAATATACTTCGGCCAAGAAGCTTTGAAGGCGATGTGAAAACTTTGCATATCCATGGCACGTTCTACAATTTAATTGCAAAATTGCAGGACGAATTAGTCGACGCGCAATCATAAAACAAACTGTCTGCCAGGAGGCAACGCCTCCTCCGAGTCCTTCTCTGGGTCCTACTTCGGTAGCCCGGATGCCGGAAATGGCAGCCAGTTGAGTCAACAATAAACGACGCTGGGATTCGCGTAAAGTTTCCCTGCAACTGCAGGAGCGGGCGTGCCGGAGGAGCTGCAACGACGACAAGGAGGACGACATCCGTTGGCAACATTTCATGGCATATTTAGATGGCGGGCTCAGTGACTTTAATTTGCCTGGCCAGCCACCTGGGGAAACGCGAAACGCGACCCGCTGCCGGTCCGACTACGGATATATCCAGCCGGCATAGAAGGCGCATTGTTTGCAGCTTGATGTCGCTTGTTTTATGGTCTCGGCACCGCCAACTTGGCAATTAGAGAGGCGAGTCTGACAAGCACATGGGGCGTATGCGCAACTTTGCAGTCAGCTACTTAAGGGCCAACCAGTGGCATTAAAGACGTCGGAGAATAATATAAGAGGACGTCAATTAAATGTAATTGTTTTTAGGGATCTTAACTATATACTTTCTTCACAACTGCTAACTTTAAAAGCATAAAATTTATTATTTTTCATTCATTCGTTCGTTTAAAATATACACTTAATTCTTAAGTAAAAAGTAATAAGCCCACAGTATATTCATGACTAATTTTTGAAGCGTAAACATAAATTTCAAAGTACAAGACCCTCTGCCCCATATCACTATCATATGGCTCACATTTTAAACTTTCGCAGGGTATTATAATTGTCAAATAATCTTAAATACAATACACCTTAATTATCTACGCTATCTATAAATGGTATGTCTACGTCTTTAAATATCAATTAGTGATTTCCTGCAGTGATTCATTGTAGAAATTAAAATGTGGGGTCTAACCATGACTAAAAAACCTTGCAGTAGACTTAACAAACCGGCCAAGATAATGCCACAAAACATTTTGATATTTAACCGGCAAACATTTCGGGTAGCAGTCAGTATTCGGTTTTCTCTTCAGCGGTTAGTACTACGAAATATAAAATTATGGACTTTTACTATATGCCTGGCAGCAGTGGCTGCCGTACCGTCATCATGGTGGCCAAAGCCCTTGGTCTGGAGCTCAACAAGAAGCTCTTGAACACCATGGAAGGCGAACAGCTAAAACCGGAGTTCTTAAAGCTAAATCCCCAGCACACCATTCCCACGCTAGTGGACAACGGATTTGCCATCTGGGAGTCCCGAGTTATCGCCATTTATCTGGTGGAGAAGTACGGCAAGGACGACTCTCTGTTCCCCAAGAATCCCAAGGAGCAGGCACTGATCAACCAGCGTCTGTACTTTGACATGGGCACCCTATACGCTGCCTTCATCAAATACTATTACCCACTTTTCCAAACTGGAAAGACAGGATCTGACGAAGACTTTAAGAAGGTCGAGACTGCCTTTGACCTGCTGGAAACCTTCCTGACGGCCCAGGACTACGTGGCCGGTGGTCAGCTCACCATTGCCGATATTGCCATACTCGCCACCGTGTCCACCTATGAGATTGTGGAGTTTGATATTGCCAAATACCCGAATGTGGCCAGGTGGTATGCCAATGCCAAGAAGGTGACCCCCGGTTGGGATGAGAACTGGGAGGGCCTGATGCAGATGAAGGCCTTCTTCGAGCCCCGCTTGGCTGCGGCAGAAAAGTAATTGATCCTCAGATTATTTATTCTATTTTAAATACATAAAGTGACTGAAGCATAAAATCCATAATGCCCCATTTAAAGCCATTTTATTAATTGTTTATTACTTTCAAATTGCCAAGACAATATAAAGTGAGGTCAATAGGGCAAACTCTAATCTCTTTTGTGTGTTTAACCGATTTGAAGGGCTTCCTTTGGAGAGCTGGATAATTGCGAAATCTTTTAAGTTTTATTGCCAATCAATTTGTGTTTCGCCCCTCATAACTTGACTCTGGATGAAGCTGCCCGGAGAAATCATTCGGAGCGTATCCAATCAAGGCATCGCCCACGCTTGACAACAGTCCCAGTCATGTGTACACTGGCACCACCAGCAACGCCCCTATGGCGGCACACCCCACTCCAAGCACCAGAATCCACAACTCACACCTTATGCCACACCCAGACCCACCGATCCCCTCTAGCTTTCATCACACTTTGTTTGCCATGTTGCCACACACTCATTTAGCGCTGAGTTTGTTTTGTAATTGCTTTCCATTGTTGGACTGAAAATTGCAAAATGTTTGCACTACACTCGCAGGATTCTCACCTCCTGCAGGAGTTGTGGAGGAGGAGAGCCACTCTGTGTGTGGGAGGAGGTGGCCCTGTCCCGGGAAACCCCCTCATTTGACTACCGGTGCGCATAATTGTAGACCTGGCAACGCTAAGCGGCAATTGTCAACGTCGTTGGTCCTGTAATTGGTTCTAATAATAAGCTCCACCTCCCACGCCCCCGCTTTATTAATAAACGCCGCGACAGCTGGCCAAAGGACAAAGGGCAAACCTTTCAAATTATGCACAAAAGGTGCTTTATTATTAATAAATTTACCTGGCCGGCCTGCCTCGTCCGGCCTGTATTCAAAATCCAAATCGCGACTGTCGATGACACTTGCCAATTGTTTTGTCGAGCCTGGTGACCGGGTCAGAGTCCAGGACGAGGCTCAGGTTCAATAGCCAGCCAGGTCAGAGGGCAATGTCAAAGACTTTCCTGCCGCTTAATGGGGTTTCCGGGCACTTATTGAACGGGCACCTTGAGACCATTAATTAGTGGCCGATTGTGCGTCTCGTTGGATGTTCAAGCCAAAAACCGAAACAGTTAATGAAGTCCCAAAAAGCCAACAATTTGAGGTTGAATTAAATAAAGTTATTGCTTAAGGAAATGAAAGATAAATGCAGAAGTTTAGATAAGTGATTAAAGTTAAGCCTAAATGGGAAAACCATATTAGATACTTGGTTGTAAGAGCTTAAAGCTTAAAATATGTTGAAATAAATGCTAAAAGTTATTAAAATTTAAAGTCCTAAAGATTTTACTCAAACTCTAGAAATCAACTGGTTTATAAATATATTTAAAGCATACCTACTTCGTTAACTTAATTTGCAGTCTTTTTATAGCATGAAAAAAGAGCCTGAGAAAGCCAGCTTTTAACCTGAAAAGGCAAAGAATAGGCTGATAAAACAAAAGAAAATCCCTGGGATCGTCCTTCATTCCCTTCACCTTTCCCAATGCGTTATCCCGCATTACGTATACGTCACGTAGCTCGGTGGGTTCAAGTGAACAACTCAAGCAACCTCGAGGCAATCAGGTTCTCCCTGTCGAAGGTCATGAACGTCGTCTGCATAGGAATTGCTTGTGGGACCTGGGCCAAAGGCAAATCATATTTGAAATAATCAAAGCAAATAAATACGTCTCAGACAGGTTAGAGATTCACTGCCAAGGCACTTGGGGCTGTGTATTCTGGGACAGACCACATCAAACTGAAGGATTCACATTAATTTTCATTCATATTCATATCGAAATTTGAATTCAGAGACAGATTTATTCGTAAACAAACAAACAATGTGGAAAGAGAGAAAGCGGGCGACAAAGCAATAAAAATTAACACATGCCCATTTCCCATTTCCCCGAGCTCATTTTCCAGCCAACCAGACAGTTTTCCCCTGACAAGATATGTTGACTCGTGTAAATAAACAATATGTGCATCATACATAAACAATAAAAGGCCCATAAATAATGCAGTTTGGCAATTAGAGGAACAAAAAGTGATGTTGAATTTCTAAAATATATATAAAAGTTAAATCGAATATGGTGTGAATGGAATTTCAATTGCCATATTCCGTGTTTGTGTAACAAAAATGCAGGAAAAACGCAGTAAAACAATTTTGAAAGCAAACAAACTGCTGCTATGCATTTCAAATGAATTTCGAAATTAAAAATCACGCGAATGCAGTGGAGTTTTCGTTCCCCAGCCTTGGGGAAAGTTGCTAACTTTGTGAACTTTTGATGGGCCATCATTTGGGGAACTCGATAAATAGCTGCCACGTGGAGCACTTGATTCAGCTTCAGTCCTAGGTCCGTCTTGTCTAATGGAACTCATCTTATTCCGCGTTCCATAACTCATATCTCGACGCAATCAATCTTGGCAGACTTGCTCTCTATTTGGCTGGTCATTCATTTGCATGCGACCGCCGTTTGTTTGCTCATTTATATTGGTCAACGGCACTGGCCTTGATGCTAGCTTTTCCTCTCAGTTGGCCCAAACAAATCCAGAGCCATTTGTAAACAGTGTATCAAATTTTAGCTGCAGTGTTGCAGAATATTTATAAATATTTCGTGTGCGCTCGTCTCGCCAATACATCATCCAAACAGCATTTCCCTACCTCATTCGGCATTTTCCCTCGGATATATTTATAGACTGAATGACAGTTCTTTCCTCTCTCTCACCGTGGACACATGTACGCAGTTTGCTGACTTTTGATATGGGTCAAGGAAAAGCGGGAAAACTTTTTCTTTCCTTCAGAGACCGAAGACCAGAGACCTGGGCAACCGGAGACTGACTAATGTGGCATACACGTGCTGACAATTAGTCTGCGATGGGCTGCCCAACGTGACTGGGAGCTGAGGGGCAGCGATTAAATGGCAAAGGCGAATGAATTCGAACTTAGTGGATTAATTTGGCCCCTTTCGGAACATTTGCGTAATTAATTTGATTAAATGCTGCGTGCATTCCCCAACAGATTGTGACATAATACTCGCTTGCTCCATTGGCGTCGAAGATCACGCCCGTGAGCCATTAAGCTCATGGCACCTTTTCCCCGATTTGATGCCCTTTTGAGAGGGCTCTGTAAATATTTGACAAACGTAAACATTTACGCTCCATTCGGTCCACAAGCCAGTGACGTTGCGCATACGCCCCGTGGGCCCGGGCTGCTGGCTGCCGCTCAGGAATAAAATTTATGAGCTGCAGCTTAACTTTCAGCCACACAAAAAATTCAGCTACTTAGGGTGGCCAAAAAATACAAGCAAAGACGAGCCACAAGAAAAACTCTAACACAAGCGAGGGAAATGGCAAAATAAAAACTTCCACTGAACGCCGAGGGGAAGGCTAATTTTAGAAGCGGCAGCCACTTGAGAGCGGAGCACTTGGACTGCACACTTTTAATTTCCACGCTGCAGTCTCCTCCGGGTGTGCTTACCTCGGATACGGATAAGCTAACCCGGATGGAGCTGACCTGCCCCGAAGCGGCATCCACCTGCCAACACACACACACCTTCCCTACACCTGCTGCCTGGGCAACAGTTTAACCCTGTCGGAAGGGTGCAGCCTTTTATTTCTGGTATAAACCACTTCTTGACCCTTGACCGAGTGCCTTGGACGAGCTTAATTAGTTGGCCAATAAGCCGAGTCGCATTGCCGAAAACTTTTCAAGCCGTTCGTACTGCCATTTCTATAGCGAATTAAAGCCACATTAATTGCCAAATTGTTGCCATATTGTTTATGCCAAGCCAAAAAGGAAGAAGAGAAATTATTTTTAGCTGTAGCCGAAAATATTTTAATTAATTAAGAGTATGCAGTGAAAAGAAACCCTTTTTTTCAACCCCTTTTCATAGACAAAGATGAAAAATGGCCGCTAAGTAGCGCAAAGTATTTGCAATGAAATTGTAAAGAAAAAGAGAGCCAGCGCGGGCAGGGAGCCATAGATAACGTTTCAAGGATGTCTGCTCGGAACATTAGACTGGCTCTTTCTTGAATTTGTGGAATTTTAATTGGGTTGCCTGAACCGTGGACTGGACCTCGTTCTCCTGGCCCAGAAGGTGGAAGAGCACAGACAGAAGAAACCCCTTGAGGAAAGGGCGTTCCGGGATATTTAATGGCTGGCCGCAGAATTGTGTGACTATTGAGGGCGGGCTTACCGCGTAGGAAATGGGAATCCCGGGTCATACTTTACTCTATATCCGAGTCTTAGGCCGGCGACTTATCGGCCCAGCCATCTAAGCCTGGCCCTGGGCTCAATCTCTACGCTCTCCTCCTCGGGAAGCTGGCAGCTGGAAGCTGGAAGCTGGAAGCTGGAAGCTGAAAGCTGGATGAACATGAAACGCATTTGGCAGGACAAATGGTTAGATGGACAGGCAAATGTTTGAACATGTCCAGCCATAATTTGTGCTGCCAAAAACAAACAAACAAACAAACGAGCGAACGAACCGAACTGGCAGCCGGAAAGAACTTTGACCGAAAGCAGTGAGAGATGTCTAATAAGGCGGCCTTGCCTGGGCTTTTGATTGATTAAGTGCCTGCATTTGACATGGCTCTTGATGAGGCCAAGAGTGAGCTAGCTGATGGCCGAGGCTGTTGCTGGAATAAAGTTGTAAAAATCTATAAAAGCGTGCCCCGTTCGGAGGCCTAAACACATTGTAAACATTCTCGCTTTACGAGCGCCTGCCGTGTGGACACTTTTATGCACATTACATTTATTACTAATACGCCACGTAAACACTTAAAGCCAGGCCCACACTGTGCGAGGACTGAAGAGAGCAGCGGAGCAAACAAGCGACTTCCGTGCCATCAAAATGAGCCACACCAACACCAACACCAACACCACCACCAACACCGGCACTAACAGACAGACAAACAAACAAGGCCGAAGGCAAATGGCGGCGAGTGGGTCAGCTTGTGTGTGTGTGTTTCTGTGTGT